AAAGAAAAAAATAGATAAATAAAAGAATTATTTGCTTATTATCCTGACTAAACTAACTCAGTCCCACAAGGAAAAATATTGTATAAAACTATTACTGTAGAATGAGTATGAGGATGCAAGGGCAGGGGATGGAAGTAGAGGGATGAAGATATGGGAGGGGGGAGGATTAATCATGGAGTTGTACAATTGGATGGGTGGGAGGGTGAGGGAAATTGGAAAAATCTGATCTGAGAAACAATGTATTCAAATTTTGTTAAGTAAACTAGTATAATTTTTAAAAATCAGGGGGGAAATTATTTACTCAGCGTATAGACTGAATAGGTATGGAGAAAGGATACAACCCTGTTTCACACCCTTCCAGCTTTTAAATTACGCAGTATTCGAACTTCCTCGTGTCCCAAAATGCCTCAGTGTAAACTTGGTGCACCGCCAGGCCGCCTCTCCCCTAGAGGGCGTCGCGCAGAATCCGAGCACCAGGGTTATCATGAGGGCCGGAAGTGTTTCCTTTCAGGGCTCCCGCGGGCCTGAGGATGTAGTTCCTGTTTCCTGTTAGTAGATGTGCGCACGTGCGTGGCCGAAGAAACCAGAACCAGCCCAGGAAGCAGCGAGTTGGTTGTCGGTCCCGTCGTGAAAGGCTATTAACCGTCATCATGTCTAACCTGCCGATGAAACTTCTGCGCAGGAAGATCGAGAAGCGGAACCTGAAATTGCGGCAGCGAAATCTGAAGTTACAGGGTGAGAGACTTATACTTTGCCTGCTGATCGGGCCGGGCCGTGTAGGACCGCGCTTCAGCTGCGGATCAGGCCAGGCCGAGTATGACCATGCAGCTCGCAGAGGGACCAGCGGGACGGCGGACGGCTGCCCGCGGCCGGTTCTCACGTCGCTGGTTGCTGGGCCCCTGGGTTCGCGAGCAGCTGTTCTCTTCGCAAGGTCTAAATAGAAGCTCTTTGATTTCTGCCAGGTTCTTATGGTCCCTCCAAGCTGTAGTCTAATCTAGGCTTTTTTCATCTCTATTCCCTTCCCGACGCCTTTGTCACCTACCCGAAGGTCTCCGCGCTCGCAGTTAGAGACATACATGGAGCCCTGTCAACGTAGATTGTGTTTCTTCCCAAATAATTGCACCCCTTCCATTCGGCTCCTGCTCTCTAGCTGTGGACTTTTTTCAACTCTAAAATATCCCCTGACGCCTAACTCCGGGTTAAATTCTCTAACCCCTGATGAATGCCTGGATCCTCCACAAAGACTGGGAAGGTTTCAGGAAATAGCAAAGGCATTTGCAGTGCTGACTTCCTGACAGGAGGACAGATTATTTGGTCAGGCTAAAATAGAAATGTCCATAGCAATCTTGGAGCCAAAATTGCCTCACCCAATAAATTTTCACCAGAGATAAAGAGAAATCTTAGAGGGGGTGACGTTCTTTTATGTCCCCCGTTTCCTGTTAAGCAATACGGGTTATGACTGCATATTTTTTTTTTTGCTGATAAAAATATGAAAATTTCTTTTACATAGTGCGTTGCTATATGGTAAATATTGGGTTAAGTGGTTTGGTCTCATCAAGTGTGTTCTCAAGTCACTATCCTCTAGGAAAATTAAATTGAATGTTTCCAAATTGTGTAAGATAAGCCATAATTTTGTACAATTATAAGGTGTAAATACTTTGTCACTATATCACCCGTGTTTATCAGCTGTGTTATTTAAATGTGCTTGCTGGTTCCTGATCCCATCTAAGCTCATGGACACTTTTTGTCACGAATTCAGCCCCTTAATGACAGAGTTGGAGAAGCTCAGTGCAGGGATTCTCCTTTCAGTACTTTCCTTAAAGTATTGTTGTTTTTTGTGTGCACTAGAGTCAAAATCGATCCATAGCTGACCCTCCAGCAGATTTTCAGAGGTGGTTAATTGTGTAGATGGAGATTACCCATCCTTCTTCCATGGAGTTGCTGGTGGATTTGAACTGCATGCCTTCAGGATTGCAGTACAGCTTCTTAACAATAAGCCACCAGAGCTCCCTCTTTAAAGGATGCTGTATTTTGTTGTTAGGTGCCGTCGAGTCAAGTATGACTAAATAGGAACCCTATGAAGAAAAGATCCGAACCTTGTTCTATCCTGTGCCATCCTCATACTTCCAGACACACAAGAGCCCACTGTGGCAGTCACTCTGTCATTCCACCTGGTTGAAGGTCTTCCTCTCCTTTGCCAGCCCTCCACCCTTCCCAACATCATGACCATCCAAGCAATGAGGCAAAGCCTCATCATCATTCTTGCCTTCGAAGAGCACTCCAGCTGCACCTTCTCCAAGACATCTGTTTGTTCTCTTGGCCGTCCATGAGATGTTCAGTGCTCTTTTCCAACACCACAGCTCAAAATGCGTCAATTCTTTTTCTGTCTTTTTTACCCATTGTCCCGCTCTCAGATAGATAGCAAGTGATCAGAAAGACTGTGGCCTGTATAAAACAAATCTAAGACCTCAAACTGACATTACTCCCCAGTAATTTGGAGAGGTCTCTAACTGCCTTACAAGATGGTAAACTTTTATTGTACACAGTAAAATTGTAAGCAGTCTTAGCACATGAGAGGAGGGAAAACTAACTTCACTCCTAGAAACCACTGAATTACTTGTTTGAGATGTCAGTATTTTTATGTAAGTTTCTTTCTTCTAATTTTTGTTCTTTGTTAACAGGAGCATCAGGTGTGAACCTTTCAGAATCCCACAATGGAGATATATCTGAAGAAATGGTTGGAGGTGGAAAAATAGAAAAATCCCTAAAACAGTCTATGAAAGCAGACTTGTTAGAAGCTCACAATGGGGACATGTTTAAAGAAACATCAGAAAATGTGAAAATTAAGAAATCTCCCAAGAAAACTGCCATTTTAACTAATGGGGAAAATGTAAAAATTAAAAAATCCCCCAAGAAATCTGCCATTTTAAACAATGAAGAAGCAGCAACACAGCATCCCAGCTCAGAATCGAAAAAGAGAAAAGTGGAGGATGCTGCTGGGCCTGGTAGGTGCTTCTTTGTTACAGAGCTATAGATGATCCCTGTTTTCAGGAGTCAGTCTACTCACTCATTGCTGTTATTACTGTATTTGACACATGAGACCCTTACCCTTACCAGGACATAAGGAACAGGTTAAGTTAGTGGCCAAAACAGCTTGAGATAGAAGATTAACTTGTTCAGTTGTTTCTTATGTTATTGTTTTGAACCACATAACCTAGTAACCCTGGAAAAGTACCACTATTAGACCTCAGAATTTAAAAAAAAAAAATTGCTGATCTTTTGGACAGTTGCCGAAAGCTAGGCCAATCTCATTGTCATCACATAGTTTCCACTCACATGATCTCCTAGGACAGAGTAGAACTGTCCATTGTGCTTTCCAGTGCTGTAAACCATAAGGGAAGCAGAGCTGCTCTCTTTGAGAGTTCGCTAAGCTTTTTATGATAAACAACATTCAGTGACAATGTTTCAGGAAACCTGTTTCTAACAGGATTGTGAGATTACTAATGTGAAAGAGATCTGGGCCAACAGAATCATCCCAGTCTCCTATGGATGACTTTGAGACTTTACATAAACAATTCATTTACTTCTTTACACCAGTCCTCTTTTCCTAACACAGATAACTCCCTTTGAAAGGAAACTTGCTAATAAATATATCAACATGGGATGAACAGGATTGTAAGAGAGTTAGGAAAGTTATTTTGAACACTCAGCTGAAACATTTTCTGGTGGTGGAGGGGGGTGGTGTGCTCTGCAGTTTGAACCTTTCATAGCTGCCTCTCCAGCGGAATTTCAGGGAGGCAGTAAATCACATGGGAGGAGACTTCCCATCCTTTTGCAGAGCAGCTAGTGGATTTGAGCCTTTGCGTTTGCAGCACAACTTAATTGTGATAACAAGCAGATTGGAAAGTTGGACAGGTCAGCAGCCTACCAGAACTGTTTTTATAACTGCATTCACCGCTTGATCAGCAAAGTTAAGTGATTTCAACAGAGGCCACAGGCCTGCAAAGCATAAACTGTTGTTTTCTGTCTGGCTTATAACAAAAAAGTTTATTATCCTCTAGATTGTAATCATGAGGATGGTACAGATAGGGCAGGGTTCAGAACTGTTGTTCATAGAGTTGCTGTAATTCATACATGATGACATCTAACAACCGCTCCTATGAAAGAGGTATCTGAGCACTGTTAAGTCCTGTGCCATCCCTGTTGAAGTCATTGTGTCAGTCCCATCTGTTGTCTTCTACTTCACTGAATCTCCACCCTTCTAAGTGTGATAACTTTCTCCAAGGACGAGCCCCTCCTTAAACCATGCCCACAGTATATAAAATGAATTTTGCCATCCTTGCCTCCAAAGAGCAAACTGGTTTCACCATATTCAGGATAGTCCTGTTTGTTTTCATAGCACTCCATGGTATGTTCAGTACTCCTCCAGCACCACAACTCAAAGGCATAAATTTTTCTGTCAGCCTTACTCATTGTCCAATTTTCAGATAGCTAGTGATTGAAAAGACCATGGTTTGGATGAAGTGCACCTTAGTCTTTAAACCAACGCCATTGCATTTAGTACACGGGAGAGGTGCCTAATAACTGTTTTCACAATGCAGCTCATCTTTTAGTTTCTTGACTGCTGCTGCCAAGGGTGTTGATTGTATAAAGTAAGGTGAAATTGTTGACAACTTAAATCACTTCTCCATCTATTATGATGATGCCTTTTGGCCTGGTAGTCAGGATTCTGTTTGTCTTGATGTTGTCCATATTGAAGGCTGTAAGTTGCACAATATCCTCTTCCATCTTATCTAATAAAAGGTTTCTTTAAGAAAAATACTTTGAACTTTCCCAAATATGCCTGCTGTCTTCATGCTCCCTGGCATCCATCTGTGATGAGTTTACAAGAAAATGCTTGAAATGTAAAGGTTGGAGGAAATGTGCATATTGGGAATTCCAGTTGTTTATTTCTTGTAGGTTTTTGTGTTTTGTTGTTTTTTTTTATTGTTTTGTACCAACAAATCGAATTGCCCCTCCTCTAACGGAGCATCTGGTGGATTCGCACCATGGGCCTTCAGGATTGCAGCACACCTTCTTGCCACTAGGCCACCAGAGCTCCCAGTTTAGATATAAAGAATTCCAGTTTGGATATAAAATTAGTTTAATCCTGGCCTAAAAGTATTTATATCTTGATATTATTATTGTAACCATACCAAAAATGTTCTGCACTCAAGCATTGAGCCACAGGGCTACAATTTTTTGTTCTCTTGGTAAGGTATAAGAAATATTCCAAGGAAAGCAGAAGTGAGCCTTAAGGATGAGTGGCTTTTGACATGAGTACCTGTGACTTTTGATTGTGTGAGCATACAGACTGCCAGTTCTCAGAAGGTGCAGCAGAGAGATCATCCCTGAGTTCTGATTTTGGGTCTGTGCTGACACCATCACTAACTGCCATAAATGAAGTAGAGAAATGAGAAAGCCCAGCATATATGGGTTAAATTGTTTGCCGTGGTTTAGAATCTTTACGATAGTAGGGATTCAAATTAAAAAGGTGGTTTGAGATCACTTGCTGAGCATTTTGAAAGTAGAAATATGAACCAAGGGTCCTTACTATTCTTCTCTGTCACCACTTAAGGCAAAAAGCACTTCATTTTCTGTCATTCAATGTGATAGATGGATCTGCCCTGTCTCTTTGGTAATTTGAAGAGCCTTCTGTTTTTCTGAGTTTCTTTCCCATACCTAAAATCCTTATTTATTGTTTATTGAGCTTTTTCTTACACATTAGACACTAGATTTTACAGGGACAAAGTCAAAGCTTCTAGCGAGGTATAAAAAAACCCAAATTATTGTTTTAATCATGTCCCCTTTCCTGAAGTGTATGAAACTTAGCATAATCTGTTTCTTTAAATTATTTAGTTAACTTTTGGAAGAAAATTCTTGGTTCTTTAAAGAATAGGTATTGTGACTACTCAGGTGGCTTGATGGCACATAATTACAACATTGTTACTACTATATTCATTATACTATTGTACTTCTATATTCATTACTGTACTTAGTAGTGAGTATTGTAACTACTAATTGCCGTCAAGTCAGAACCCACTCATAACAGAACGTCCAGTGGGTTTTTGGAAGCTGTAAATTGCCTAAAGGAGATTTGTCCATCTCTCACGGAACTGCTGGTGGATTCAGACAACCCTTGTTGGCAGTGCAACACCCTACAGACTGCACCACTGTTGTTAGGTGTCGTCAAGTCTAGCACGACTCATAGCAACCGTATGAACAAAATATCTGAACTTTGTTCTGTCCTGCACCATCCTCACACTTCCAGACACAAAGCATCCATTGTAGCAGTTACCATCTCAAACCACCTGGCATCTGTAATAAATAATAATTTGTTGTTATATACTGTCAAGTTGGAACCAGCTCATAGCTGACCTTCCAGCTAGTTTTCATAGATAGTAAATCACTCAAATTTGCACAACTTTCTCCTGCAAAGCAGTTAGTGGATTCAGACTGCCTGCAGTGCAACTCCTTACCACTAAGCCATCAGAACAACCTGTAATATAATAAGAAACCTAAATGCTGAATTTGTTGGCAAATCTGAATGAGTTTAAATATAACCAGATCTTTTTTCAAAAATGAAACCATTTCAGTCTTTTGGAAAAGATAGTTTTAGCATACTATAACTGGGTGTATTTTAAGCTTTGAAAGTTAATTTGTTTTTACTTGCTTTTTTATTTTATTTTTTGTTGTTGTTGTTCACGAATTTGTATTTTGTCATTTAAAACCAGTCACCAAAAAAGCAAAGACTGAAGACAAACAGCAATCTGTTGAAGTTGATGCCAAGGCTCCTACAGAAGCAGAAGGGAGTGTGGACCAGCCAAAGGAAGAGGAAGATGACAGTGAGGTGCCCAGCCTGCCCCTGGGACTGACAGGTAACTTCCAGAAGCTTTTCCACACAGGATTTATCTTTCTACTATTTTGTCTTCTTTCACTTTATATTGCCTCCTTTCTCATATTTTCAGGTGTACATAGTTTGTAGGCTCTGTGTTTATGTTCTAGAATCTCTGGTTATTTTAGTTTGTCATCATTAAAGAATGAATAGAATGAGGAAAGGAGAGTACAGTGATGATTTGAGAGACATTGTAAATGATGTTGTGCAATTGTAATGTCACAAAATGAAATGTATAGGATTGATGAATCAAAACCCAAAAAAAGTTCATTCCAGGATACATTGGGAAGTTTGTGAACCTGGAATCCTGGAGGTTTAGTACTGTCTCAGCAATAACCATGCCGTTTTGTTCTGCTTTAAATTCTGGACTTGGAATCAGCCAGCCAGCAACAATGGCAAAACAGCACAAAGTTTTCTTGGTATTATATGCCGGTAACTGAGATTTTAGTCTTGAAGAAAGACTTTCAAGTGTGACTTAGTCAACTCTTTGTCTAGTCAGCTCTTTAAAGTGTGTCTTACCTTTCCCTTCCCTCAATGTATCTACTTACTAAAAGACACATTTGCTAATGAACTGTATTCTGTTTAGGAGCATTTGAAGATACTTCCTTTACTTCTCTGAGTAGTCTTGTCAATGAGAACACTCTGAAGGCAATAAAAGAAATGGGCTTTACAAACATGACGGAAATTCAGCATAAAAGTATCAGACCACTTCTGCAAGGCAGGTATGCGCAACTTTGAAATAAGTGGAGACTGGTGTTCAGCTTTATCTTGTAGCATGGTTGCTAACTGCTAGAAATGTAATCTGGGTGGCAAGGGCAGGAATTTATTTCTTCTGTTTTGTTTTTTTTTTATTTGGGGGGTGTTTTTTAATTATCCCATTTTAGAGGTTTTTACATTGCATTTAATTCAAGTACATTATGTTTAATACAATTGAATACATTGATGATGCATTGTACCACTCCATCTCGTCAGGGCCCAATTGCATTTTTCCCATTCCCTTTCTTCCCCTTCCACCCACCAACTTCTGCTTTCCTAGTGATATTTCTTTACCTTCACCCTCTGCTATCCAGCAGTGGAATAGTGGGGTCCTTGGAGATTTCTGTGTTCAGCTTTTTGAGAAAATAGCATACTGCCTTCTATAGTGGTTGAAACATTTTACAATCCCACCACAGTGCAATAGAGTTGCATTCTCTCCATATCCTCGCCAACATTTCCTGTTTACTGCCCTGTTGAACTTTTGCTACTGTTGCTGGAGTGAGATTGTATCTCATGAATATTTTGATTCCTGTCTCTGACTGCCAGTGATTTTTAACCTTGTCTTCCTGTGTGTGTTAGCCATATCGTCTTTGTGAGGAGTCTTTACTTATCTTTTGCCTGTTTTGTAATTGGGCTTGGATGCTATACACAAAAACCACCCCAAAGTGGATTAGAGATCTATGGGGAAACATATCATTAGAGACGAAATGACAACTCATTTAGAAGTCCTAGTATGTTGCATAAGTAGGTTTGCAAATATAGCCAAAAATGCACAATTAGCAGAGGATAAAAATCAATGAATGGGACTTTCTAAAAAATCAGATCTCTCTGTGCATCAAATACTTTTTCCAGTAGAGTGAAAAGAAAACCCACAGACTGACATTTCAGACAAAGGTCTCCTAACCAGAGTTCATGGAATTTAAAGCTTCCACAAGAAAAAGTCTGCTGTATTCTTTATGAGTAGAGTGTATTATGAGACTGATACATTATTTGTAGTCCAGAAATGCTTGTTGAGTCGACTAAATGTTTTTCCCTTCCCTTTGTAATATTTAGGGATCTTCTAGCAGCCGCAAAAACAGGCAGTGGCAAAACCCTCGCATTTCTCATCCCTGCAGTTGAACTCATTGTTAAGTTAAAGTTCATGCCCAGGAATGGTAAGTTCTGCATCTGTCTGTGTCTCTCCTTAGCTCACTGGAATTTTAATTGTGGTCGTGACAGACTTTGACTTGGTCGTCATCTCCTGCTGTATAGGAACAGGTGTTCTGATCCTGTCGCCGACTCGGGAACTGGCCATGCAGACTTTCGGTGTGCTTAAAGAACTAATGACACACCACATCCACACGTATGGGCTGATCATGGGGGGCAGTAACAGATCTGCAGAAGCACAGAAACTTGCTAATGGGATCAACATCATTGTGGCCACCCCAGGCCGCCTCCTGGACCATATGCAGGTAAAGAGCAGTGCCCGCCTTGCCTTGTGTGTGACATAAACGTGACTGCTAACAATTTTTCCCGGTCCTTTGTCTTGTTAGAATACCCCAGGGTTTATGTACAAAAACCTGCAGTGTCTGGTTATTGATGAGGCTGATCGTATCCTGGATGTTGGGTTTGAAGAGGAATTGAAGCAAATTATTAAACTTCTTCCAGGTAAGTAGGGAATCTCATGTGGTTTACAGTGTGATTGATGGACATAGGTGAGGGTTATTCTTGGAAGAAAATGAACATTGATAACTAGGTGATGCAGTTGTACCAAGCAGCCTTAGAGATAGTTTGGAATGTAAGCCTCAAACCTCTACTGTTGGAAAACCATAGGAAAAAAACTTCTACTGCGTGAAACGGGGTACAATTATGATTCATGGTGACCCCATGTATGTAGAGTAGACCTGTGCTCACAGGGTTTTCTGCGCCAGCCCTTTCTTGCAAGCGTCTGTGGTGGGTTCACGCTTCTAACCTTTCAGTTGGTAATTGTGCCACCCAGGAGTTTAATAGTAACTTGATGTGGTTGGTGGTTTGCTATCGTAGAGGTTTTAAGGAAATTAAACTATCTTAAAATCAGTCTCATTTTCCTTTCACCATCTTAGATTATTAGCGTCTCATCTGATATCACCAGGTAGATTTTTTTTTTTGCCTTCAGTTCAGTTATTTCAGTTTCTCCTATTTTAAAAGGCAGTTTATAATTTTGTTAATGCATATAGAAGAAGAGCCGAGTGTTACTGGATTTTTCTGTAGAAATTGCCAGATGACTTTAGCCTTTTAGATTTTATACTTAGGCTGTTGTGTCATGTATGAATACAGACAGTTGGATGTCACTTAATCTTTCTTATCTGCTTACATTGTTGGTGGTTTTGTATACCATCAATTCAGAAACAACTCATAGCTGACCCTCCAGCAGGTTTTCGGAGACAGTAAATCTCATAGGAGGAGATTGTCCACCTCTCTTCTGCGGAACAGCTACTGGATTTGAACCAAGTGCCTTTGGGTTGGCAGCACAACTCCTTGCCACTAGGCTACCAGCCAGAATCTAATACCTTGTTGGCTATAGGTAGCAAACAAGCATGGATATCTCTCTGGCTCCAGATAGCAGAGGGGAAATGCATATAGTCGTTCACTGTTAACTGATGTTAGCTAAAGGTTTGTGTATGCCCATCATCAAGTTAGCACTTTGACCAGTCCTAGTCTGTAGCACTTTTACCCAATAGTGTGTATAAGATACCGTCGATTGGGGGTTTTTTTTTTTTTGTCTTTTGAAATGGTCAGATAGTTTTTTCTTGGTTTTTGGTTTATTGCCATATACTGTTTTGTTTAAAACATTGACCCCACAAAAATGGATTTGAATTTTAGATTCGTGAGGCGCTAAGCAAATCTGAAAAATTAGTCATACAGTAGACCAGAAGGGGCCTTTTCTAGATAAACTTTTATTTGGCAATGATACCTTATTATTTTCCTGTATTATTGTGTAGGAAATCTGTATTTTTATTCAGGAGGTATATTGGTATGTCATTTGTTGAGAGTGTCAGTTAGCTGATGTTACTATCATAGAAAAATGACAGGTAGGTGCTTATTCTCTCAGAAATGTCAATGCAGTTTCATTTTCTCACTGGGCTCAGGAGGCCAGAAATCCAGTATGTGGCTCTAGGAGGCTCCTTCCTTGTCTGTTTTATATATACCACTGAGGTGAAGAAGGCTTAACAGAGCCTGTTCCCACGTGGAACTGCATCCTTAAGATTTCAGAAATTTCCTCCCAGTGGAGGGTGTCAATTCAATCCATACAAAAGTTAATGCTGGTTTCAAAGAATGGTATGAGAAATTCTCCCGTTTGATTTCCTGGACAGCTTCTGTAGGATTGGTGATGTTTCTTCCTTACATACTTAGAAGAATAATTCACCAGTGAGCCCATGTTTCACATGAAGGATTAAATATAATACCTTTGATAGAAAGCTAATCAAGTTGGTGTTCATTGAGTGAACATTAACAGTGCCTTTCACCAAGTTTCCCATTTTAAGTTGCAAATATATAGCAGTCAGAAAGTTCCCTTACTATAGATTCTGTAGAGATGGCATGGGCCCCCATCCTGCTTTTTTAGGATATTTGTAGTTAGGAACATTTTGTAACAGGTCTTTCCTTACCTATCTGTTCCAGTACGCAGGCAAACCATGCTTTTCTCTGCCACACAAACCAGAAAAGTTGAAGACCTGGCTAGGATTTCTCTTAAAAAAGAGCCCTTATATGTTGGTGTTGATGATGATAAAGCCAACGCAACAGTAGATGGTCTTGAGCAGGTATGTTACATTAAACTGCAAAAATCTAATGTTATTCTTTGTGATTGTTTTGTGCATTATCCAGAAAGCCTTTATGTGAGGGAGCCTTTAATTCAAATGTAATGAATGTGGCCATTTAACTCGAGTATTAAGTGTCATAAACACTGATTGGATCACTGATCCTTTCTCTGCTATGTATCTATAATACCACATGTTGTTATTGTTTGTGGGTGCCGTCAAGTTGCAACTCATAGGATCCTATGAACAACAAATCTGAACCCTGGCCTGTACTGTGCCATCCTCATCCTCTGTGATATACTTGAGCCCATTGATACAGTCATTATGTCAGTCTGTCTTGTTGAGCATCTTCTCCTCTTCCACTGACTCTCCACCTTCCCTTTTCCTAGGACTGGCTCCTCCTAGCAACATGCCACAACTTTGTGAAACTAAATTGGGGCATCCTTTCCTCCAAGGAGCATCCTGGTTGCACTTTCTCCAAAACACTTGTGTTTGTTCTTTTGGCAGTCCGTGAGATGGTACTTTTCCCTAATACCAGAACTTGAGAGATACCGATTATCTTCTGTCATCCTTATTTATTGTCCAACTGTCAGATGTGTAGGAAGTAATTGAAAGGACTATAGCTTGGATCAGGTGCGCCTTAGTGTTTAAACTGTCACTTTTGCTCTTTAACATTTCAGAGAAGTCCTTGACAGCATATTTTCCCAATTCAATATATCTTTTGATTTCTTGACTGCTGAGACAAAAGGTACTGGTTATATATCCAGATACAATGAAATCATTGACAAATTCAGTCTTTTCTCCATCTATCATAGTATTGCCTGTTGACTCATTGGTGAGGGTTTTTATATTCTTGATGTTAAGGTGTAATTCATAGTAGAGTCCAGCTTCTTGAATGATTTGCTCAGCACATAGATTGAGTACGTATGGTGAAAGGACACAGCCCTGATGTACACCTTTCTTTATTTTACTCCATGAAGTGTTTCCTTCGTGTGTTTAGACAGCAGCTTCTTGGTCTAAATACAGATTGTGCATGAGCACAAAGTGTTCTGGAATTCCACTTCTTCTCAATGTCAGCCATAATTTCATCAGTCCACACAGTTAAATGTCTTTGTATAGTCAGTAAAACACGGACATCTTTCTATTATTCTCTGCTTACGCCTGTATTTATTTTGACATTGACAGTGATATTCCTGGTGCCATGGCCCCCACTCTTCTAAATCCAGCTTGAATTTCTAGCAGTTCTCTGTCAGTGTACTGTTCTAGCCATTTTTAGATAACCTTCGCTTAAATGTGAGATTAATGATATTGTTCAATAATTTCCACATTCTGTTGGATCACTTTTTTGGGAGATGGAGACAAATAATACCCCTTTTCCAATCAGTTCGGCAGATGACTGCCTTCCAGATTGCTTGGCACAGCCTGGTGGGTATATCAAATACTGTATCTTATTTGCTGGAATATGTCCGTTGATATTCCATCTGTTCCTGAGACTTCCTTTTTTGATAGTGCCTTCAAGGCAGCATCAGCTTCTTCCTCGTTAACATTGGTTCTTGATCTTACACTGTTTCCTAAAATGGTTCCATGTCAACCAGGTTTTTTTGATGCAGTGATTCTGTGTATTCCTTCCATCTTGTTTTGATGCTTCCTTGATCATTCAAGAGTTTGCCCACAGCATCCTTCCTTCAGTATTGTAACTGGAGTCATAAGGGGTTTTTTTCAGTTCTTTGAGCTTACGAAATACCAACTGACTTCCTCTCTTTATTTTCTGACTGCAGTTCTTTGTACAGTCTGTTACACTTTGTCTTTTCAAGTAACTCTTTAAAAACTTTTGCTAGTCTCTTTTACTTCACCATTTCATCCCTATGTTTTGGCTTCTCCACGTTTTAAGTGCAATTTTCAGAGTCTCTTCGGACAGCTATTTTGATCTTTTTTTTCTGCCTTGTCTTTGTAATAACCTTTTGTTTTCTTCCTAGATTAAATCTTTCATGTCCTCTCACTGCTTAGCTGCTGGTCACATAGCTATTGCTAATCACATTCCAAAAATTTCTTGAACTGTCAGTTTTAGATGCACTGAGAGTTTTTTGGTTGCTTAAAAATCTGACATAGGAGCTAAGTTTAAAAATGTAGATGCTGTCTTCAGGGCACAAAGCTGTGGAAGAGTAGAAAGAAAATGGTAAGGCTACATCCTCAACTGATTAGCACTTTGCAGTTCCTATAAAATAAAACCTTGAATTGTTCGGATAGTTTTTAAAACTGCATTCTGTTTTATTACCTTATTTAAGACCATGCACTTAAAAGCGCTTGTTTTAGGAGACCTTTTAAAAAGTGAATTCTGATATGCCTAAGAAGACCCCAGTTAATAGAGGTTTTAGTATAATTGCAGGAACTTTTGGTGACCAGGAATCCTTTTACATAGAAAAGGTGTGAGTGCAGCCAGGCCGCAGGTAGCATTAAGCTTTTCTAGAAATCTCTGTTAGAATCCACACAGCAGGCTTGCTCTAGCAAATGATTGTCAGTGTCTATGCAATATTTTTACCTCTGTTTGAAGCTAAATATGTGTTTGATTAATTCTTCTCTATTTACTTGAACCATTTGTAGGGATATGTTGTTTGTCCCTCTGAGAAAAGGTTTCTTCTGCTCTTCACATTCCTTAAGAAGAACCGAAAGAAGAAACTAATGGTGTTCTTTTCGTCTTGCATGTCTGTGAAGTACCACTATGAGTTGCTGAACTACATCGATTTGCCTGTTTTGGCCATTCATGTACGTTACAATGATGACATTTTTATTGTTTGAATAGCCGTACTTGTCAAGCTGTATATTTAGGGACTTGCATTATTGCTGTCACCTCTGAGCATGATTGACTAGTTCTGTCAGCACTGGGTGCCGACACTGTACTGTGTACTGTGCTGGCTATGGGGGGAAGGCACAATGTAGTAGACACATCATCCTCCTCAAAAGGACATAAAGCATAAGCCGGGGGGACTTTGAAATAAAACCAGTATGAAGATTTCATAGTTTGGTGTCTATAAATAGGTTTCCCAGAATCAGCATCAAGTTGGTAGCTCTAATAGGTGTTTTTATTTTATTCTAGGGAAGGCAGAAGCAAAATAAGCGAACAACCACATTTTTTCAATTCTGCAATGCAGATTCGGGCATCCTGTTGTGTACAGATGTGGCAGCTCGAGGGCTTGATATTCCTGAAGTTGACTGGATTGTTCAGTATGACCCTCCCGATGACCCTAAGGTAGTTGACGTTTGGGGACTTTATCTACAATGGTTCTCCATTATCAGGTGCTCACAATCTCTGGGTTCCTGAGATTTGTCCCTTAGTTACTCATTTCAAATGACTGAAGTATTTCTCTGGTGTTGATAACTATTGAAGGCGTGTTGAGGCCCAAAGCAAAGAGTTGGATAGAGTTTTATAAAAGAGCAAGTTTCACTGAGAAGGGTTTTCAGGAAGTAGTGAAATTGTGGCAACTTAACTTTGTATGTAAACTTTCAAATAAAAGATATTTATTAAAAACAATAATAAATGGATTTTGTCAAATAACATTTGACTCTGGGAGGCAGCAGCATCTGAAAGATAACAGTTAATACTCAGTTTCATGTTAACGTGCCCATCACGTTCAGCTCATCGTTGTCCTTGGTCACTGTTCTGTTACTTGTTCGGGGTGAAGTGTGGCAGGTAAGATGGTAGGGCAGCTTTACATGGAGGAGTCAGTGGCATCCCTGTGGGAACCAGTCCATACAGTTGTGCTGACTGCCCTCTGCTCACACCGGATACATCCGGGAAATAGAAATACATTCCATCTCTAGGAGTCACTGTTAACTGAGCTTGTCTTTTTCAACCACAGGAGTATATTCATCGTGTGGGGAGAACAGCCAGAGGACTGAATGGAAGAGGGCATGCCTTGCTCATTTTGCGCCCAGAGGAATTGGGTTTTCTTCGCTACTTGAAGCAATCTAAGGTGAATATCTTCACTTGGAAAATCTTGAGCTGGGACTATGTGCCAGTGGCGAGGATCTTAAACATCATGTCTGCAGAGTCTGGTCAGGGAAGTGCTATTGTAACTGACCCACAGAGGTGGACAGGCTCATACTCTGCCATTGTCCCAGGCTGCCCTCCCATTAAGTGCAAACTCCAGAGCTGCTGGGCTTGCTGTAAGGTCCCCAACACCTCCCGTCGCCACCTTCATGGTGTTTCTTTTCTCCTCTGTCAGGTGAAGTGAGAATCCTCGTTCACCCCTGCCTCTTCCCTGTCTTTTATTCATCAGCTTCACTATTATCTTGAGTCTGTGACTCGCAATTAGGCCTTTATCATCCTAGGACTCACTGAAAAAAGGCTAGCTTTAACCCTAAACCCATCCCATGAACACTACTCCTAATGTGTCTATTGCCTTTCCTAAATCTGCCCTTTTGGAAAAGCATTTCTCTTTTTCCTAACTGACCTCCTAGGCAATCTAACCTAATCTGACTTGAACCTCATTTCATTCCACTAAAATAATTCTTGAGAATCATCTAAGACCCCTTTGTTGTTAGATTTTATGGACACTTGTCAGACCTCATTGTCTCCCTGACAATTTAACCCCGCAGCCTCCCTGGTGTTGTCTACTTAAATGGATGCTCCTCCACACAGCAGCTGCATGTCCCTCAATAAAGCAGACAAAAATCTAGTGCTGTCATATCCATTTCCATCTTACAGTAGTTCCTCTTTGGAATCATTATGGGAGCAGACTGCCTGATTATGTTCCCAGCTATGACTGGTTCATCTAGACTGCCAGCCTTTCTGATTGGCAGCCTGTGCATCACTGCACTACACCCACATGCAGCTCCCCGAATGAAACAGTGTAGTTCTGCACATGTTCTCTAGACTCTTTTTTCTGTTAGTTGAAATGTTGAAATGCTTTCATTATGCCATCTTTCCTACTGTTTGCTCATCTCTCTTACCCACAGACTGCAGGCTTTGGAGCAGGGTTCCAGCACCTATTCGAGTCAGGTACTCTTCTAGCGTAGGGTAAAAATGATGGCTGTGTGCAGTTTTTTCCTGTAGAAGTTTGTAGTCACCCCTCAGTGTGCCATTAACCCAGGCCCCTTGCTAACTAAAAGCTTTTCAGGAGGCTTGTCGCTTTCTTAGTGTTGCTGTAACAGAAATAGGGGAGTGACTTGAAGGAGCCTGTTTTCTCGATTGGAGGCCAGAAGTCTAAAATCGGGCCCTGGCTGTAGCAGAATCTTTCTCCCTCAGCTCTGAGCAAAGAGCCGTGTCTCAGTGTCTGCAGCCCAAGTGTTCCTCAGTTCCCTGGAGAGTTGTCCTTTCCATATGGCATCTGACCTTTGCCAGCCCCTACCTCAGTTTATGCTTATTCATTACTTATCTAGGAACAGAAATATTACTAAAAACAGAAATATTCCCAAACTTAAGAGGTGACATAGTGATAAGGAATCTTGCTGACAACCCAAAGGTACATGGTTTGAATTCACCAGCTGCTGTATGGGAGAATGATGGGCAACTCTCCTTCCATGCAGTTTACTGCCTCTGAAAACCTGCTGGAGGGTCAGCCGTGACTTGGTTCTGAATCAATGATACACTTCATTATCATTCCCAGATGAGATTACATTCCCAAGTGTAAGGCTCTGAATGCTGAACACATATTCTGGTGTTCACAGTTCATTTCCTAATTCAGTGCATAACCTAATCAAGATCATGTCGTTGTGTACTGTCACATCAGAACCAACTCATGACTGACCATTCAGCAAGTTTTCAGAGCAGTTAATCACTCAGGAGGAGATTATTAATCTTTCTCCCACAGAACATCTGGTGGATTTGAACCATGTGACTGAGATTGTAGCACAGCTTCTTACTGCTAGGCCACTAGAGCTCCATAATAGTCTTATTTAGCCAAAGGTACTTACTAGCTCCTTTTCTCTGCCCAGTTCCTTACCTTTCTTCTCAGGAGGCTAGAATTGTGCATTCCTTGGCATATTCTGTGTGACCGGCAGTGTGCTAGGAGTCCAGGGGGTCCAGTGACTGTGGTCTTCAGAACCTGTGAGCTGCATTGAAACCACCACTGCCCAGGCTCCCATCACATCCCTAGCTGCTTCATTCAGCTGGAAAATACATGCATACATACATACATTCATTCATTCATGTATGTTTTGATCCATTCTGGTTCACTAATATTTATACTTTGTTCTCTAGGTTCCACTAAGTGAATTTGAATTTTCTTGGTCCAAAATTTCGGATATTCAGTGTCAGGTATGCTTTTCCTTTTCTAAAAAATCATCTGTCACAGCACTGGCTGGTGTTTGCACAGGCAGGCACTGCCCCTTTTCCTGTAATAAGAGTCTGAGCTGTGCTCTCTGAGGGAGGGCTCTTGCTGGGCATGCTGCTACGCTAACTACTCTGTTCCAACTAAGACCTTGCAGGAACTAAAGCATGCTTTTGAAAATATCCCAAGGCATGCAGCAAGCACGTTCCTTGACACGTTTTCTGTGGGATTAATTTGATCAATGATGGGTAAAATCTGCATGTGATGGGCAAATGACAATTTTTTTTTTGTTAAAACTAATGTTGCTTTTCGTTTCAGCTTGAAAAACTGATTGAGAAAAACTACTTCCTTCACAAGTCTGCTCAGGAAGCATATAAGTCATACATTCGAGCATATGATTCCCATTCTCTGAAACAAATCTTCAATGTTAACAACTTAAATTTGCCTCAAGTTGCTCTGTCATTTGGTTTCAAGGTGCCTCCTTTTGTTGACCTGAGTATCCTTTTTCTGTTACCAGTTGATACAAGAGCTAAGGGGCTAGAAGTTTAACGAATGTTGCTCTGGTTGTCTGAGGACTGACAGCTCATGTCCACCTGGTATCTTTGTGCACAGGACAGAGCTGCTGTGCACAGGACAGAGCTGCTGTGGAGCAAGTAGGTCCTAACTGCCGAGGTGGGACTATCTGAGAATGAGACTATCTGTCGAAGGGATTTGAGTGGCAGACAGTAGAAGTCAGTTACAGTTTTAATGGAATCCAGTGTGTTGCAGAGTAACTTTCCATTGATGTTAGAAATAAAACGCACTCTTGGGATGACTCGGCAGACACCCAGAGGGTTAAAATAACAGCTCTCAGACCGCTCTACAAGGTATTTGGGAGAGAGGCCACTAACGTTGAAGGGCAAGGGAGCCCTTTTAACATAGGGCCATGGAAGGGAGTACATGAAAGGAGGAAACAAGATCAGCAAAAAATAGAACTGAAGTGGCTCAAGCTAAAGGCAGAAAATGCCTCAAGTCGTTTTTGCTATAGTTTATGATGGGTACTTGGTTAGCACTTCGGAGAGGAAACAACCACCTAAGACAACGAATTCCAGTATTCTGATAATTGGCAACCCTATTGTAGACATTTAGTAAATACTTGCTCTATTAAACATCATCTCAAGCTATGTGAAGAATGCTGCCTCACATTAAGCATTTATAATCCATTCCAAACAAGTGAGCAGTCTGAACGGTAGAGAGGATATTATTGTGTTCTTAGGAACTCATTCAGAATTGCCTCTTTGAGGACATTGTTTTGTTGTTAAGTGCTGTCGATTCGCATGCGACACATAGGAGCCCTGTGAAGGAGAGTCCTCAATGCTTGGGTGCCTTTCATCCTCTCTCTAGGTTCATAGGGTTTCCGGAGGCAAGCTATTATGGATTGTCTTACTATTTTTTGTCTTTAGTAATTTTTTGTCAATTAGTAATGCTATTTTCACACCCTGGTTTTAGTCTGCAAACAAGTGGCTATTTCTGATTTTCTGGTCGTGTCACAGGCTTGTGTGCACTTATTTTTCTCTTCATTGCTGAGAGGGGAGTGATAAAAGGACAATTGTAAATGTGGTTTTCACTCTGTAGATGTTAATGTTTATTATTGCTTGGATTCCTTAACATTCATCTTTAGATGTGAATAGCAATGATGGCAAACTTAAAAAGCGAGGTGGAGGCGGCGGATTCGGCTATCAAAAAGCCAGAAAAGTTGAGAAGTCTAAGATCTTTAAAAACATTAGCAAGAAGTCACCGGACAGTAGGCAGTTCTCACACTGAAGACATGCCTTCCTTCATCTGGAATAACTTTGTCCAAAATGGATTTTCTTTCCCCTGTTCTAGCGGGAATATTTTTATAGACTTTACAGTTTGGACTGATTTATCAAGAGTATAAATTGCCACGGGCAGCCAGCAGTAAGGACTATTCTAGCAAATCTTTATTTTCAGGGAATAGAAAACAATTACATCTGCCCAAAGCTAAAGTATGTTTTCTTCAGTTTATGTTGTTTTAATAGAAATTGTTCTACTAATTTAACTGTAAAATACAGGTGAGTGTAATAGGCAAGCAATAGCCATAGTGAAAATACTACATATGTATTTTTTAAAAAAAAAATTATATATGGTTAGGGTTTTCTTTATGTTTTGTCTATGTTTTGATCTTTAGTTTTTAACCATAGTTAATGACATTGTCCCTACCCTTAACCTTGGGGGGGGGGTCATATAGATGGGAAGAGAACTTTGGGGAATATAAGTACCTGTTTATTTTTCTGAGAAAGTCAAATGTAGAGGAAACAGGTTGATAAATACTAAGGGGAAAGTTCTGTTCAATGCTTGGGCACAACTCTCTTGCCTTGGTTTCTTGGGGGTCCACATGACCATTGGGTTCCGGGTGGAGGAGACTGGCCATCTTCCCACATAGCAGTTGGTGCATTCGAGCACTCGGCCTTCTGATTAGCAGTGCAGCACTCAGCAGTACACCAGCAAAGCAACTTGGTGTTGGTTTTTTGTTTTAGAAATAATTATGTTGCTTCTAAAAACCACAGAAGCAAAAGAGAATATTTAATCCCAGTCAAATATAAATACTGTTAATACAATGGTGTGTATGATCATCTAGTTTTTTCTATGCATTTTCATACTTTTACATTTTCTTTTAGAAGTGAAGCCATGTCTGTCCACTGTTGTAACCATCTTGTTTTTAGCATGTTATGTTGTGTCATTAAATAACTCCCATCAGTCTTGTATTTACTACTGTGCTGCTTTGACCCTCCCTTGATCTGCCTGAATCTGGTTCGTAGAAGCCTGTTTAACTGAGGCTGCCTCTCCCTATCTGAACATGTCTAGAATTCCAATTTGGTATTGTTGGCTTAATAAGAGTAAGTCAGATCTATAGAAGTTTTGTGAGAGAAGTATAAGATTGTTCCACCTTTAGTAACTTGGCATTTCAAGTCTCAACATGAGACCTAGCTAGCATGACTGGAGTTCAGATATGAGGAACTAGAATTAAAGACACGATTAGGACAACAGTTTGCCAAGTTCATTTTCTCAAAGCCTTTTGGGTTCCTTTGCAGAGAACACAGTGCTGTGGGAGTTTGAAGGATGTTGGGTTGGTTCGAAGAGAGGGGTCCTGTGGCTGCAGCCATAAGCAAGTTGGGTAGGAAGCAAAGCAGATAACTTTCCAGACTGCTGGGCTGCGAGTGCTGGTTAATCATTGCTGAATCTAAATTTGTAAATATGAGATTAAATTAAGGAACTTGAAATGTGAAAATTCTCCTGGTTATGAGGACCAGAGGAAAGGGATGCAGTGATTTGAAAAGAATACCGGAAGAGCCTGAGAACCAAGGAGACCCCTGGAAGCCAGGAGACTGACTCCTGGAATACACGTATATATTAACTTCACACTTGAAAAGAAACTACAGAATATGAAATATTAAGCTATTTGTTAATAATAATTTTTTAAAAAGAATATTAGGAATAATTGGTTTTGGGTTAAAAAAAAAAACCTGTTAGGTGTTTATTTGTTAACAGTAATGGGGAAATAATACAGGACTTTTCCCCATTTCTGGTAAAAGGTATTTGTAGATACATTTCTTGGGATTCATTAGACCTTGTGAAAGGAACCATCCACAAAAAGATTAGTGTGCATTCAACCCTAGATGAGATTACACTATTGAAATTCAGCTTTAAATAGTAATGGACTTTTATGGAGATAAAGGAGACTCTGGCAGTATATATAGTACATAGCACATTCTGCTGTTAACCCAAAGGCTATGCATCTCCAGCAGTTGTAATCTACCAATGGCTTCTTGGGAGAAAGATAGGCAATCCTCTTTTATGAGAACCAACTCAATGGCAGTAAGATTGAGTTGGACAGGAGTTGTGCTCTGACCTTAAATGAGACGGCTGGTGGTTAAATGCTGTCAGCTACCCCTATGCACAGTATCTCTGAACTCTATTTTGAGCTAATCTCTCTGACATACCTACCCTCATTACCCCAGTTGACTGTCAATCCAGTTCATACGGGGTCTTTGTTTTTTGCACCGTCCCTTGACACTTCCATGCATGTCCTCCATGACCCTCTTGGCAACATGCCCAAAGTATGTGAGACAAGAGTCTCAAAATCCTTGCCTTTCTGGAGTAGCTTGGTTTTACCCTTTCCAGGACCTGTTAATTTTCTTGGTGGCCCATGGCATGTTGAGTACTCTTCTCCAGCACACCATAACTCGGGCCATGTTGTAGACTGTGTAAATTCCCAAGAAGTTCTGTCCACCCACAGCTCTGGTTTTACATAATTGTCTCCCAGTAAATCCAGTTGGATTAAATTCAATGGAATGTGGCAGGAGTGTATCTTCACTTGTTTCCATAATCCTGTCAAACTAGCTTTTGGTAATGCATTTGTGCCTAGTGGTTAGAGTAGTTAGATTTTTCAGACTTTTTCCTCCCCCCCAGGACTCCACTTTCCTTGCCAAAATAAGTTAACATAGTAATATTTATTTTCTGAGAAAAAGAGCAAATTAATAGCACTGAAGAACCCTAAAAGAAAGTAATATCCTGATAATTTTTGGTTTGGTCATTCTGTACAGCACCTCAAGTCTTTGGAAATGGAAATATTCTCTGGGTGATCATGTACTATGGTAGTAGTCATAGACAGCAGTGTGCAAAGCTACAGATCATCCCCTCACATCTCTCCCACCTGTACTTCTTAGTCACCCAACCACATTACTCAGGTTACAGCAGCAAATATAAATGAAAATATTTGTGTTTTTCAACTCTTTTTTAGTAAAATTTTTATCTTACTGGTTAGCAGTTTGTATACATTGTTTTTCACACTAGATCTTTCCTTTACCCACACACACATCAAATTTTGCGACCCTATGATTAACAACCTCACCCATCCTCATCCCTCTGCTTCCACCCCTTGGATCCTCATATATTCTACGATAATGGTCTTACATAGTATCTGTACTTACGGAACTGAGTTGACTTAGCATAATATACTGCAGTCGCTCACAAGTTAGATAGTAATTTATAAAATCATTGCTCCTGTGTGCTGTGTAGTATTCCATCACATGAATGTATAATTTCTTAATCCATTTGATAGTGGTTGGACATTAGGGCTGTTGCCATGTTCTTGTGATGGTGAATACGCTGTGAACATTGGTGTACAAATCTTTTGTTCCTCAGTTCTCATTTTATTGGGATATATTCCAAGCAGTGAAATAGCTGGTTATAGGGAATTTCTATGTTTGGCTTTCAGAGGAAATGCCAAACTGCCTTCCGGAGTGATTGTACCATTTTACAATCCCACCAACAGACTTCCTATCTCACCACAAACTCTTCAATATTTATTATAATTGTCCTGTTAAGCTACTACACAGCAGTAGTAACCAGAACAGCATGGTACTGGTAAATCAGTTGGATAATGACTAAGGATGATAGAATTGATGCCTTTGAGTTGTGCTGGAGAAGAGTCTTGAACATAATAACACGGACCACCAAGAAAACAAATAGGTCTATCTTGCAGAGGGTGAAACCAAGTTTCTCCTCCGAGGCTAAGATTCTGAAGCTCTATCTCATATTTTGGGCATGAGGCCAGAAAGTCCTTGGAGAAGGACACCATGTGAGGCTGGCTCAGGACAGGGCAGGCTTCAGAGCTATAGTACATAGGGTCACTGAATCACAGGCAGCTTGACAGCACATAAAAATAACTGGTACAATAACAGACACAGACCAATGGAAGATAATTGAGAACTCAGAAATAGACCCAAATATCTATTGCCAACTGATACTCAACAAAGAAACATCAAATAAATGACAACCTCTTCAACAAATGGTGCTGACAAACTGGACTTTTCACCTGCAGAATGCTGAAACAGGATCAAAATCTTAACACCATACACAAAAGTCAACTCAAGGTGTATCAGAGACCTGGGAATAAAGCCTAAAACCATAAAGTTTGTTTCTTTTTAAAAAAAATTATTATTAAATTTTATTCGTTTTAATGAACATTTACAGAGATTTGGGGTTTCATTCATTCATTGTTGCACTGTTTACCCTCCTCCCCAGTTCATTGTTCTTCCCCCCCCCCCCTGGCCCTGAATGTCTGTGTAATTGTCCCATTGCCACAGTGCTTGTCAAAGCCAGTTCTGATTAATATCCTTTGTCAGTGTGTCCTTTGTCATTCCCTATCACTCCTCCCTGAGTGAGACTTCACCCTGATTCATAAGGAAAAGGGGATGGCATGTTCTCTTAGCTACTTCCTGCTGAAAGGGGATGCTGTGGGTTTCAGGGTGAAGATCTTCTCTCACTACTCTAAAGGGCCCCTTTGGCAGTAGGAAACAGACTATTGTGGAGATTGATTTTGGAATTTAGATGCATTGTTACCAGTTGTGCTTAGCCGTACATGTTCATATCCTTGAAGATTTATCATGGAAGTGTTGCAGCCTAGAAGACACAAATTTAACAAGTTAAAAGTACATGAGTCAAAAATTAAAAAGCAATAATATTCCGAATAGAGGTTCTAATAGTGGCACAAATCAAGTTACAGAGGGAAGGTGGGTCTTACAATAAAAGGCCTATAGACTAGCACTTTGTCTATTATAGTGTAGAGGTTAGGAACCACAAGATGTAGAGGCTCAGCTATGTCACTTATGGTTCTTAAGTCCTGGAGCAAATTCCATCTACCACTGGGTTGGTTTACAACTCGGAAGTTTGCATGCAAGGTAGAGGTGAAGTAAGGAACTGCTTATGAGGTTTTCCGTCCATTCCAACAACTAAGAAAT